TACTCGTGGGAAACGATCACCTGCCCAACATAACAGGTTGATCATAGGAAACAATGAAGGTTTTGAACTGGCGATGTGGAACTAATCAGCATACACCGGAGAACGGTATAAGCTTAAGAGCCAAAAAATGGCAAGACCCCTATTCAGTGCCCTCCCGGCTGAGATCGCGCCGATCGTAGCATCAGAAACACCAGCGCCAGATTTAGATGCTTATGTACCTGAGTAAACACATGGCCAGCAGGCGGAAAATGGCAGTCACAACAGAGTCTGAAGTGGTATTGTTCTTTTACGGGGCTTAAGCCGTCGCCACTCCGTTTAGCGCAGATCCACACTCGTCCATGATTCAAAGCATCAACAGGTTCCGCATGACTGACATTCACGACACCGACTACACGTCCTGTCACTTAACAACAACCGCAACAGTTACGGTCAGGGAGGGAGCCAACTCAGCCGTGGTTACGCGGCACACAAACATCTTCAGCAGTCAACTGAGCCGACCAGCTTAGGTCGTCCGAGAGAACATCTTAAGTCAACAGTTTTTCCACCACCAACGTGTTCGATCAACACTGCCGTTGCCTTACATGAACCGCTAGATAAACGTGGGCGTTTAAAGTTACCCCCGTTGCAAACAACGTGTAGATTTATAACTTACTGCTTCATGGCTGATTTCGTGCCCAAATGTCATCGTCAACCACAGGGCTAGCAGTTATTGCACAAACGACACTTTATAAATGAATAATGCGCGATATGTCAACCGGTTAGGAACGTGTGTATTTATGCGCACGTGCATGCAATCGCACCCTAGGGAGCAGCACCGATGATGCCGCTAAGATCACGTGACCGAACGAGGATTATATCTATTGGCCAAAGGGCAAAGTTAGCAGCGGGTGACGATTCGCTGTCGGGACCACCGGGTCGGGTTTTATTTGCGAATTGCAGACAAGCGGTGGGACGCAAGTAGAGTGCCGTGAACTCGCTTGGTCGCAATGGTTTCGCTACGGTTGGCATACGTTACTAACTACGGCAAAATGAGATATGGAATTGAGCGCTGTTCGAGTGTCGATTTGTCACACGCTGCCATGGTGAATGCTCGAAATACAGCCATTTACGCACCCCATGAATTTCACCGCTTATCAGCTGTACTCCTTCATTTGGTCATCGTAAAGCATAACAAATGGAACTCACTCATTCACTGTCATAGAATTGAGGCTGTAATTGCTGAAACATACAACGATTTTTATCCGATGGCCTCTTACCTAGTCTTTTGCAACAATGGTCAGTTCTCCGCCGTAGCAATTGAACTGCGGCGCTAAACAGTTTCAGGCGGTACCTTTGAAGTTTCGTGAGGTAGGAAGAACATCAGTGTCGAACGGTCACTGCGAAGCTGCCTTTGCCTTTGTATGCTGACATTTTAGTGGTTAAACATCGTATCGTCGTCCATATGAAGCATTGCGTTGCTGAGTGGCAGGCGGCTGTGGAGCGGGCATTACCTTACTCTTCCACAGGTTTCGGTCGAAACCGATTCCGTTTGCTACGCTGTGGTCCGTTCCCAAAGTAAGCGACCATACTTCCTTTCTAACGGGATCTCGGTGACATCACAAGAGAATTCGCAAAACCGATTTTGGCACAGCTGTAATCCGTCAACTGAAACGAAATGACGTTTCTTCTCAATCTTCGTGTTGAACTTTCATACATTTGGCACTAATGGCCTTGTGATTAACGAACACTGATCACACTGCGATCGAGATTCTGCTGATTTTCTAGGCAATAGCACCGCGCGATCGCCAGCTTGAAAATTCATTAATTTCTTAGTCCTCTCATCATAGCTTTTCTTCACCTTGCTTGTTGCCTCAGAAGATTTCCAACTTGCACAACTTTCACACAACTTTTCTTACTGATTACGGTAAATGTCAACATGTGAACCCACAACGCGTAGTTATACTTTATCAGTTGCTACATGCAAGCACTACGGATACTTCTTGCGCGGCGAAGGGTCACTTTACCATGTTTCTTTCCCGCACGATCTTGCAGTTCGAAATCAAGTTCTACAGCTATCACTAA